GAAAGATGGGCACACCATCCCCAGCAGACAGCTACCACAGGGTGGCAGAAGCATGGAGCCCTGGGAGAAGCACTGGATGGGCGGGGCAGGGGAAGCCACTGCACTCCAACCCCTGCTGCAGCCCTGGGACTGGAGGAGCTCTAGCTGCAGCCTCAGGAGTGTGGCACCGGGCTGTGGTGGGGGGACAGAGCTTCTCTGGTCTTGGAGCCATGTGGGAGGGGTGGGGGGAGAAAGGAGTAAATGGGTTGCGGGGTAGCAGTGTGGGTGGGGGAGGCAGAATGGGGCTGGACTGTGGGTGGAACAGGGGCGAGGAGAAGGGGCAGAATGGTGCGGGGCCGCAGGCAGAAGGAGTGCAGAGCCCCCCCACACACACTTGCTCTGGCCCAGAGCCCCACAAAACCTTAATCTACCTCTTCCACCTTTCCATGATAAAACACTATGTATGGTGAGTCACCCACAAGGGACCCTAGGTCTCCTACCCTCACAGCCAAGGTGATATCCGTAAAGAACAAAGTCTTGAAAGAGAAACGGAGGGAACAGCTATCCATAGGTTCAAATGGGGGTTTTCTCAGCACATTGAGAACTAAGTTGAGGTTCCATGGAGGACTATGTTCCTTGAGTAAGTAGGAAAAATGTTAAACAGGCCTTTAATGAACCTTGCAGTAGTTGGTGAGTGAAGACTGAAAACCCTTCAATGGGGTGGCAGGGTGAAAAGCTGTAAAGGCACCTAGGTGAACCTAAACTGAGCTCAAAGATAACCCACTGTTTTTCAAATTTAGCAGACTAGAGCATGCTAGAAAAGTGAGACTCAAGGAGGTATAGCTCAGAGGCAGCTCAGAGTCTGAAAAGATTTTCACTTTTTACAGGTAGGTTTTCCTTGTAGTGGATTTTCTACAATTGAACAGTACTGTTTGGAGGTCTGGAGATGAGTCCTTTCCTATGCCAGAGAGACATCTAGTAGCCATGCACTGAGGTGAAGCAACAAGAGATGGCAGTGAGTCGTGGTCCCTGACTCCCAGGTAAGGAGACCTGCTATCAGAGGAACGTGGAGAGGTGGGTTGCAGGGACAGTCGAAGGAGCTCTGGGAACCATACTTGCCTTGGTCATGGTGATGCTATGAGAATGGCCATTGATCTCTCCTGTTTCAACTTATTCAGGACTTTGAGGCGTAAAGGCATCAGGGGATTCCTGAAGGGATATCTACAGCAGCTCCCAGCCAGTTCTGACTGTCACAGGTGCTGACTTTGTCCTTTCCCAGGCGGCTGCTTGACCCCTGCTCCTCCCCAGGCCTGCCCCTACTCCACCCCTTCCCCCAAGTCCCCACCCTGCCTCTTCCCACCCCCTCCCCCACTCCTCCTTCTCCCCCCACTGCATCTCCAAGAGCCTCCTGCATGCCGCTAACCAGCTGATCCATAGTGGTCGGGAGGGAGGCACTGACTGACGGGGCCACCATTGGGCTGGAGGCACTGGGGAGGAGGGGGAGGACCTGACGGGGGACTGTTGGCAGGTGCTAAGCATTCACCATTTTTCCCCCATGGATGCTCCAGCCCTGGAGCACCCATGGAGTCGGCACGTATGCTGACTGCATCCTCCTCTCAATCAGGACCATCAGCACTTCGCGCTGGAGGGCATCACAAACACATCTATTTCCAGAAGACTCAAGATAAGGCAAATCTTCTGTAATACTGCATCGTTGAGCTCTCACTTGTAGTCGTGGCCCAAAAACCTGCTCAGGGAGACTGCTACTATGTTCCGTAACCCCAGGAGATAAACCACTGATATCTCTGTGTCTTGTGATACACATCATTGCATAGTTTTATGGATTGTGTGCACAAGAACTCAGAGTAGCAGACGTGTTAGTCTGTATTCGCAAAAAGAAAAGGAGTCCTAGTGGTACCTTAGAGACTAACCAATTTATCTGAGCATAAGCTTTCGTGAGCTACAGCTCACTTCATGCATCCGAATGCATCCAATGAAGTGAGCTGTAGCTCACGAAAGCTTATGCTCAAATAAATTGGTTAGTCTCTAAGGTGCCACAAGTACTCCTTTTCTTTTTGCACAAGAACTGGGATCTTGCTCCTCTCCTTGACAATTTATAAAATACATTGAGGGGTCCCTGATATGTTGTAGAAAGCAAGGCAAGCGTAATGGACTGCCCTGAGTTCTAAAATGTTGATAAGGAAAGCAACCTCCTGGGGAGTCCCCTTGCCTTGAGCTGTGAAGTTCAGAAGGTGAGTGCCCCAACCTAGCAGAGAGCCATCTATGGTGGTCTTTGGGGGAGGCGGATTTGAGAACAGAACTCCCATACAGACCTTTTAGGGTTTTTTCCACCAATTGAGGGAGTTGAGGACCATCCAGGTATCGATACCTGCTTGGATAGATGGTGCTTTTTGGGTTTGTAGACTGTCCTTAGACAGGCTTGAAGTTATTGGGAGTGTAATCTTGCCAAAGATGGTATGAACTTACTGGCTACCACATGACCTGGGAGCTGAAGGTTTGTGGGCTCTGTTATATTGTAGAAATAAGGCTGGGTATCATAGCAAACCTGCCTGTGGGTAAGTATGCTCTGGCAATAGTAGAGTCCAGAGTAGCCCCTGTGAAGTTTGTCCATTTTGCGGGTATAAGTGTAGACTTTCGCATTAGGGCGGAGGCCCAAAGAGCCTTGCTGGATGCTGACTGTCACTCAAGAAATGAGCAACCCTTCAGAAGCTAGTTGGCCAGGTAGGAAAAGATGATTATCTCCATTTGACTGATATGGGCTGCAACTGCCAAGACAACCTTGGTAAAGATCCTTGGGGCAGTGGAGAGGCTGAAGGGTAGGACACGGTATTGGTAATGGTCCCTACCACCAACGAAACATATGTGGGAAGAGTGAATGGATATATGAAAATAAGCATCCTGAAGGTCCAGGGAAACAAACCAATCTCCCAATTCCAGAGGGAAAGTTACCATTCCAGCTGCCACAGTTTCCATTCTGAACCATTGTGACAGGAGGATGGGAGGGAGCTGGAGCTGAACTGAATGTAGTAACCTGGTGAAATCACTTCCAGGATCTACCTGTCTGAGGGTATGTCTACACTACGAAATTAAGTCGAATTTATACAAGTCGGTTTTTTAGAAATCGGTTTTATATATTCGAGTGTGTGTGTCCCCACAGAAAATGCTCTAAAGTGCATTAAGTGCATTAACTCGGCGGAGCGCTTCCACAGTACCGAGGCAAGCGTCGACTTCCGGAGCGTTGCACTGTGGGTAGCTATCCCACAGTTCCCGCAGTCTCCGCTGCCCATTGGAATTCTGGGTTGAGATCCCAATGCCTGATGGGGCTAAAACATTGTCGCAGGTGGTTCTGGGTACATATCGTCAGCCCCCCGTTCCCTCCCTCCCCCCCCCGTGAAAGCAAGGGCAGACAATCATTTCGCGCCTTTTTTCCTGAGTTACCTGTGCAGACGCCATACCACGGCAAGCATGGAGCCCGCTCAGCTCACTTTGGCAATTAGGAGCACATTAACCACCACACGCATTATTCAGCAGTATATGCAGCACCAGAACATGGCAACGCGATACCGGGCGAGGAGGCGACGTCAGCGCGGTCCCGTGAGTGATCAGGACATGGACACAGATTTCTCTGAAAGCATGGGCCCTGACAATGCATGCATCATGGTGCTAATGGGGCAGGTTCATGCTGTGGAACGCCGATTCTGGGCTCGGGAAACAAGCACAGACTGGTGGGACCGCATAGTGTTGCAGGTCTGGGACGATTCCCAGTGGCTGCGAAACTTTCGCATGCGTAGGGGCACTTTCATGGAACTTTGTGACTTGCTTTCCCCTGCCCTGAAGCGCATGAATACCAAGATGAGAGCAGCCCTCACAGTTGAGAAGCGAGTGGCGATAGCCCTGTGGAAGCTTGCAACGCCAGACAGCTACCGGTCAGTTGGGAATCAATTTGGAGTGGGCAAATCTACTGTGGGGGCTGCTGTGATGCAAGTAGCCCACGCAATCAAAGATCTGCTGATATCAAGGGTAGTGACCCTGGGAAATGTGCAGGTCATAGTGGATGGCTTTGCTGCAATGGGATTCCCTAACTGTGGTGGGGCTATAGACGGAACCCATATCCCTATATTGGCACCGGAGCACCAAGCCCCCGAGTACATAAACCGCAAGGGGTACTTTTCGATAGTGCTGCAAGCTCTGGTGGATCACAAGGGACGTTTCACCAACATCAACGTGGGATGGCCGGGAAAGGTGCATGATGCTCGCATCTTCAGGAACTCTGGTCTGTTTCAAAAGCTGCAGGAAGGGACTTTATTCCCAGACCAGAAAATAACTGTTGGGGATGTTGAAATGCCTATATGTATCCTTGGGGACCCAGCCTACCCCTTAATGCCATGGCTCATGAAGCCATACACAGGCAGCCTGGACAGTGGTCAGGAGCTGTTCAACTACAGGCTGAGCAAGTGCAGAATGGTGGTAGAATGTGCATTTGGATGTTTAAAGGCGCGCTGGCGCAGTTTACTGACTCGCTTAGACCTCAGCGAAACCAATATTCCCACTGTTATTACTGCTTGCTGTGTGCTCCACAATATCTGTGAGAGTAAGGGGGAGACGTTTATGGCGGGGTGGGAGGTTGAGGCAAATCGCCTGGCTGCTGGTTACGCGCAGCCAGACACCAGGGCGGTTAGAAGAGCACAGGAGGGCGCGGTACGCATCAGAGAAGCTTTGAAAACCAGTTTCATGACTGGCCAGGCTACGGTGTGAAAGTTCTGTTTGTTTCTCCTTGATGAACCCCCCCGCCCCTTGGTTCACTCTACTTCCCTGTAAGCTAACCACCCTCCCCTCCTCCCTTTAATCATTGCTTGCAGAGCCAATAAAGTCATTGCTGCTTCACAGTCATGCATTCGTTATTCATTCATCACACAAATAGGGGGATGACTACCAAGGTATCCCAGGAGGGGTGGTGGAGGAGGGAAGGAAAATGCCACACAGCACTTTAAGCACAGCACTTTAAAAGTTTACAACTTTAAAATTTATTGAATGACAGCCTTCTTTTTTTTTGGGCAATCCTCTGTGGTGGAGTGGCTGGTTGGCCGGAGGCCCCCCCACCGCGTTCTTGGGCGTCTGGGTGTGGAGGCTATGGAACTTGGGGAGGAGGGCGGTTGGTTACAGAGGGGCTGCAGTGGCAGTCTGTGCTCCAGCTGCCTTTGCTGCAGCTCAACCATACACTGGAGCATACTGGTTTGGTCCTGCAGCAGCCTCAGCATTGAATCCTGCCTCCTCTCATCACGCTGCCGCCACCTTTGAGCTTCAGCCCTGTCTTCAGCCCGCCACTTACTCTCTTCAGCCCTCCACCTCTCCTCCCGGTCATTTTGTGCTTTCCTGCACTCTGACATTATTTGCCTCCATGCATTCGTCTGTGCTCTGTCAGTGTGGGAGGACAGCATGAGCTCGGAGAACATTTCATCGCGAGTGCGTTTTTTTTTCTTTCTAAGCTTCACTAGCCTCTGGGAAGGAGAAGATCCTGTGATCATTGAAACACATGCAGCTGGTGGAGAAAAAAAAAAGGGACAGCGGTATTTAAAAAGACACATTTTATAAAACAGTCGCTACACTCTTTCAGGGTAAACCTTGCTGTTAACATTACATACATAGCACATGTGCTTTCGTTACAAGGTCGCATTTTGCCTCCTCCCACCGCGTGAACGGATTTTGGTTGAATGCCAGCAAACATACACTGCAATGCTTTGTTCTACAGTGATTCCCGAGTACGTGTTACTGGCCTGGAGTGGTAAAGTGTTCTACCATGAAGGACGAAATAAGGCTGCCCTCCCCAGAAACCTTTTGCAAAGGCAGAACCGCAAATGCCAGGGCAAAGTAATCCTTTCACATGCTTGCTTTTAAACCATGTATAGCATTTTAAAAGGTACACTCACCAGAGGTCCCTTCTCCGCCTGCTGAGTCCAGGAGGCAGCCTTGGGTGGGTTCGGGGGGGTACTGGCTCCAGGTCTAGGGTGAGAAACAGTTCCTGGCTGTCGGGAAAACCGGTTTCTCCGCTTGCTTGCTGTGAGCTATCTACAACCTCCTCCTCATCATCTTCTTCGTCCCCAAAACCTACTTCTGTATTGCCTCCATCTCCATTGAAGGAGTCAAACAACACGGCTGGGGTAGTGGTGGCTGAACCCCCTAAAATGGCATGCAGCTCATCATAGAAGCGGCATGTTTGGGGCTCTGACCCAGAGCGGCTGTTCGCCTCTCTGGTTTTCTGGTAGGCTTGCCTCAGCTCCTTCAGTTTCACGCGGCACTGCTTCGGGTCCCTGTTATGGCCTCTGTCCTTCATGCCCTGGGAGATTTTCAGAAAGGTTTTGGCATTTTGAAAACTGGAACGGAGTTCTGATAGCACGGATTCGCGGTTCTTTTCCTGTCTACCTGGCCAGTGCATCTGAGTTGAGAGTGCTGTCCAGAGCGGTCATAATGGAGCACTCTGGGATAGCTCCCGGAGGCCAATACCATCGAATTGTGTCCACAGTACCCCAAATTCGAGCCGGCAACGTCGATTTAAGCGCTAATCCACTTGTCAGGGGTGGAGTAAGGAAATCGATTTTAAGAGCCCTTTAAGTCGAAATAAAGGGCTTCATTGTGTGGACGGGTGCAGGTTTAAATCGATTTAACGCTGCTAAATTCGACCTAAAGTCCTAGTGTAGACCAGGGCTGAGGTGATGAGCTGCCAGGAAGGAGTGGACCCATGGGCACTGCTGACAAAATCTCTGATCAAGAATGCATGGGCACATACACATCCTGAAGTGGATCACCCATAGGTACAATTATTTGAAGAACAACATTTCTGATAGCTGAGAAATGTTAGATGATTGTTTAGAATTGTGGAAGTTCGAAGATATCAGCATCAGAGTATCCCAATGTTTTCCTTTTTTAATCAACTGTCTCCACTCGGCACCCAATTCCTCTCAGTATTTTTAACCAGTACTTTATATAAAGTGGATATGTGGATATGCCTTTGCCAGTGCAACTCAGTGTCAAAAAAAAAAAAAAATTAAAAAATCCTGGGAATTAAATGAGTTGGTTTTATTTTGTGAGGTACTTGGAGGCTTTCCAGCTTGGGTGATCCATAAATAATTAAAATATTTATTAAAATTCAACAGCAGTGTTTTCATCTTAGGCAACTACTATATCCAGTACTACAACTAGCAGCCTCCAGGAATTCCAGATTTCTCATACCCCCTATCAGATTCCACCACCTCTGTTCTCAGAACACAAGACCTAATATATGACTGAATTAATCTGCCATTTCACAAGTACAAATTCTTATATAATTCACTTAAAATCTCCCTTTTTCCATAAACAATTAAAAATGCAAGAACATGGTTATTTTATTTCATGCTTTCTTATTGTTCAGTACTTCCACGTCTCTGGTTTCTGTTCCACAGAAGTTCTTTTTTCATATTCACATTTAAGCTATTTTCTCCTATTAATTTTATTGAGCTTCCTATTTGTGTGAGTAACATCTGTTCTTTTCCTCTATAATTATGAGTGTTATTTTATTGTAATGTTTTCTATTTTTAGCTTTTTTACATTTTAGTTCCTCTGCATTTTTATTTCATCCCCAACCTTATTTTATCCTTGCATGTTTCCTATATGAGAAAACTATGCTGAATTGGTTTTCTACCCTCTTCTCATTTTTGCCGGAGAAAATGGAAAACTAACATTTATTATTAATTTAATAAAATAGGCTTAAAAAACCCCACCTTTACTAGATAGATTTTTGAAGAATGCATTTAAGACAGTAAAAGTACAACCCAGCCCAAAGAGAGGTAACAATACATCTGCAAAAAAGATGCTATTATGTCTAAGGGATGCTGTTAGGTTCAGTTAATTAGTGTATGTAAAGCACTTTGAGACCATATATTGTAAAGTGCTATTTAAGGGCCCAGTTCTGCAGATACAGAAATTTTACTCATGTAAGTTCTACAATTGACTGAACAGGACTGTTTATGTGAGGTAAAGCTACTGACACATCTAAGTGTTTTCTGGACTGGATTCCAAGTCACAAATAATCGCCCAGATTGTTGTTTTCTCTCTCCTTCCTTTCTCCATTTGCAAGAAGTGATCCTCCTGGCACAAATCCCAGAGTTATCTTGGTATGTCAAACAGATGGGTTGGACATTACACAGGCCAGGCTGGGGACATAGTGGAAGGAGTGGAAAAGACAGGCGGATCTGGAAAATCACTGGACAAGCCACGGTCCAAGACTGTTCTAGCTTTTCCACAGGATCCCAGTAGCCACCATGGCGAGCATGTTTATACATGCCTGGCAGCAAAAGGGCCAACAGAAGCACACTGCCAGGATCCAGCGCATTGGCATAGGTTCTCTGTGCAGATGACCCTAGACTTTAGGTTTGGCCACTCAAGAGGACATCATCTTGCCCCTTACTGTTGTTTTTTACATTAAATTAAAATTCAAGAGAAATAAAATTGCTACATGTTCACAATTTCCCTTTTGTAAACAAATATGAAGAGATTAGGTTATTTCAGACTAATTCCTTTTTCAACTATATTTTCATTAGCTTGCAATGAGTTGAAGCTAACAAAAGACTATTAGAAGCCCAGAATGCTTCTCAGAAAGGAACATTTTCCAAGTTACCGCTTTGAATTTTCTGTTTTAAGTGCATTATCTTAATCTGTTTGCAAAACGTGGTATAGTTCACAGCACCATGACAAAAAATAGTTACCAACACAGCAGTTTCACAGGGAAAATTCTTCCTCCATAGACATGAGCTTCTCCTGGAGCCTAGCAGAAAGAAAGGCACTTTTCTGTGTCTCCACTGGACAAGCTACGAGAGGCAGTGCTAAGCACACTGAACTAAAGGAGCTGCATGGAATCGGTCCACCTTAGCAAATAACCAGAATCAAAAGGAGAAAATTTATGTGCAATACTTGAGGCTTTTTAGATGGTTGCTACAAAACAGCCACTAGTCGAGAACGATGCAGCCTCCTAACCTGCACCGATCTCTGGACAAAATAACAGGACTGCATAAAAATACAAGTTACCTCGCCAATAAAATTCACTGACCATCAAACAGACTCATTTCCTATTGAGAAAAGCAAGTAATTGGAAGTGTACACTAGGCTCCAGGCCGGGACTTACGTGTTTATATGTAACATTTACAGACATAGGTAAAGAACTATGTGTGATAGGGGGGTGACTAGTCAATTCTCTGTCCCTCACGTTTTCCAACTCCCTATAAATAGGCAAAGGATCAGCCTCCCACCTTCAATGAAGCACCCCGTAAAACGGGCGCCGCTAGCATACCAATGTCCGCTCGGCAACGCTTCCAGGAGGCCAGCGGCGCTGACGTACCATCCAAACACGTTGATGTTTCTGCGGGCGATCAGGCTTCTTCCAGCCCTTTCGCCTTCCTTAGTGCCACGACACCAGGCGCTCGCCCCTGCGCGGCCGGCATTTTCCACACGCCCCCTGCCCAGAGCGGCCAGCCCAGCCCCGCGCAGACCCGCCGGCGGCGACTCAGAGCCGCTCGCCGCGGTAGGACCCGCCGGGGACATGGACCGTCACCTCACTCAGCCTCCGTCTGCTGCCTCCGGGAACGCTCCCAGCAACCCCGGCCCCGGGCACTGAGCATCGCCGGGTCCGGGCGGCTCCCCCCACCCACGGCCAAGCGGCTCGGCAGGCTCTCCCGCGCCGCACCCGCCTGCCCACTCTCGGGCAGCGGCAGCCACTCACCTGCCGGCGCCGCGGCGTCTCGGAGACTGCAGCGGGCTCACGCCCTAGCCCGGGACCCCGCAGCAGCAGCCGCAGCAGGGCTCGGGGAGCGGCACATGGCGGGGCTGGCTCCGCTCGCCAGCCCGGGGACCCGCGCGCCCCGCTCAGCTACTCCGGGAGGAGGAAGGGGCGGCGGCGGCTCAGCCCGCCCCCCGCAACAGCCCCGACTGGCAAGAGGCGTCGCGCGCGCGCTTCAAGTCCCTCAGGTGCATCAGAGCGGGCGCGGCGCGAGTCACAGCCCAACTGCCTCGGGACCAGTGCGTGCGGCCCACGCGCCCCCCCCCCCCGGGAAAGTCCATTGTATTGGGGGGAGGCGGGGGAGGGCAGGGGTTGACGTGAGAGAAAGTGAGGCGGCGGGGGGGGGGGTTGGGAGAAGAGCCACGGCTGGCTTAGCCCACTGCGACCCCTCCCATCGAGGGAGCTGTTGGGTCCCCACTGCTCAGGCGTCTCAAGGTGGGCCGGACGCCCTGTTCCCTTCCCATGCGGGGTGGGGGGCGGTGTACAGATTGCCCAAGCAGCCACTGTTACTTCCTGTGTTTAATGGATGGATCTATACCTATAAGCAATTACGTAAAAATCAGGCCCGCCGACTGCAATTCCAGGCCCCCTAGAAAGGGATGGCGGAGGTTTGATTTGTGCAGGACGGGCTGGAGGCGGGCCCCACGCTGCCGCGGGCCCAGCGTTGCCACATGGGCACGGAGCTGGACCACGTGCAGGGGCTGGGGCAACCACGCACAGGATGCAGGCACTGTCCGCCTGACACTGGGGCGGTGCTCGCCTGCGCTGGCTGGTGTCCAGCAAGCCGCCAGCTGCGCCGATGGGCATGCTCTTCCAGCAGGGCCAGGGCTTCCACATGCCTGCCTGGCTGCCTTCGCTACCACCTGTACCACCCCATGCGCACCTAGGAGCCCTATGGCCCGCCCGGGCGATTGCCTCCTTTGTGCCTCCCCCCCGTGGCAGGCCTGGTAAAAATAGGACCTCTTCATTCTGGGTGACCAAGCTAAAAAGTGGGCTTTAGTTGCCTTAGTCTTAAAGAGCCAACATAGCAAGCTGGTATCTATTCTGGCTCATGCACTAAAAATAATTAACTAATTTTCAATTCATGGCCAAATTCTGCCTTAGGTAGTGCCCCTGCTACAGTACAGAAGAAAATGGAGTTGGACAGAGGTCAGTGAAATTTTGGAAGTAAGAAGGGAAAGAAAGGGACTTTTTTTTCAGCTATTTCCATTTAAAATATAAGTAATGTTGAAGGGAAAGGAAGAGAATGGGGTAGAGAGAACTAAGGAAGGAAATGTTCTTCCCTCTAAGTCATGTGACCTCTAGCTATAAGCATTCACTTCTTCCTAGCTCCCCTTCTTCCCGCCTTTGTAATGTATTGATCCTTTTCAGAGTGCTTCATAAAGACATTTTTAGAGCACCACTGAAATACAGCCCCCTCTATAGTGTGGAAAGTGACAACAAAATTGCATTTAGCCTATGGTACAGTAATAGGGGAGGAGAAATTTAGGCCATTACACTAATGGCAAACATTACAAAAATGCTGTGGAATATCTTATTAGCACATGGAACAGACAGGGTAATCTTTAAAAAAAAATAGCATATGCTATTAGGAAGTCTTGGTTCCAGGAACTGTGAGGCTGTACTTTCAACCAAACCCAACCATCTTGACTATATATTTTCCCAAAGGTTGTAAGTAAATTTTAGTTTAACACACACTGCAACATTTTTCAGTTCCCAAGTGTTTACTATCAGTTTGTTTGATTTCCAGTGCTTTTACAATTATTTACAATTCTCTCCTGGCCTTGTCCTAGTAGCTTCATCCTCACCCAGGAAATTCAGCAGTAATGCATAATTCAGATGTGCCTTCCTAAGTAGCTTTTGTGATGTAAACACTCAAGCCCTTATAACTGGATTGAGATTACTAGTTACACACAGCATGGGTGATTTGAAAAACAGCCACTGATCACTCACCTGGGTTTGAACCAATGACTCAAAAGTTACTGGTTTCTGAAGCACATATCCAGCCCCAATATAAACATTATATTTTACCAGTTCCCCCATCACGGCTTGTCTCTTCTTCCCCTGCTGCTCCTGCCTTGAGGGTCACCATCTAAAGGGGGTCGGTACCCACCTCCCTTGAGCACCCCCTGTGGTTGGGTATGTCCATGGTCTTTAAACCAGTCTATCCCTGGTATGGGGCCGTGTCCCCAGAGCTTCCTCCCTGGAGACACTACCTTCCTGCAGCCCTCCCCAGGCTCAGTCCCTGCAGCCAGCCAGGAGCTACTTCATTACTCCCCCAGTCCCTGCTAGCAAACGGTCTTTGGCTCAGTCCTAGCAGCCAGCCAGGAGCCTATTGCTCCCCCAGTCCCTGCCCCCACTTAGCTGTCAATTATGCTGCAGTTCCCTCAAAGGAGACCTGGTATATGTGAGAACCAAGAAGAACTGAATTAAAGTAGGTTGAAAAACAGTGGAGTATATAGAAAAGTATTTTCATGTTGCAGATTGTCTACACAGCAGTGTTCATACACGGTCATAACTATACAGAAAAATATATCTCCCTTGGGGAGTTTACAATCTAAATTAGACAAAACAGCAAGTGATCAGATTAGTAGCAACTGGAGGGAAGGTAGTTACAAAACAGATAATGGACCAAATTCTGCCCTCATTCACATCCAGGTAACCCTATTGCTTTTAGTGTGGGATTGCCTACATATAAGAGGGGTCCTGTTGTGAATGCAATCTGGTCATTTTACTTTTTAAAGAGAGTAGGTTAAGGTACAGGAACAGCTGCAAATGGCACTAGAGAAGTGAACAATGGAATGCAAACTGAAAAATGAATTGATAGACCAAACACAAAAAACTGCTGTAGGTATTGCATAAACAGCCTTTTATCTGTATTTGTATCAAATTAATGATTTATTACCCAACACCACAGGTGGCAGTGTATACAAAGACGGTGCAACATGTGATTTACAGGAATTTTCAGCCTGACATGCACATATACTATCATGAGGTGTTTTAATATTTCCAAAACATGTTATCAAGCTGAATAAATATTCCCTGCCCCCAAAAGTTCGTGTTTTACATAAAAATATAATATTGCACTTTTTACAAGAACAGCTATTTTGCATATCTGAGATTTATAACAAATGGAATGCTGCTTTTTAAAAAATAAGACTCCATGAGCAACATCCCATATTTAAATTGGGGAGCAAGTAAAAGCCTCCAAAACAAGAGAGTTTTAAATGAAGCATATCACTTCAACATGAACCAAAAAGCTTCTCAGTTTGTATTTGGAGTATGAAAAACATGATTAAAGCCAGCTTGTAAAATGTACCTGCAATATATGCATTTGAAAAAGTTAAATTCATACGGTATGCAGCCATTTGCTTATTCTTCACTGGTCCAAAAAATCTATTTTCAGAATATGAACTCTGGGAAGATCCTTGTACTTAATCTATAAAGTTTTCTGAAAATCTAGAAGTTAAAAGATGTACACTTGGAATTTTCAGAATGCACAGATTGTGTGTATATTATGATTTGCAGGTATCTATACATATTTTGTCTTTATCACCAGATAAATTATAGATCTTACAGTACAGTGTTTTGCAGAAGGATAAATACATGCAATGAGTAAAAATATAGACATTAAAATCTATATGGTAGAAGTGGAATGTGTAAGTGATTTAAAGGAAAAAATAGGTTTTAACTACTTAATAGGTTTCTGTTGCATTTTTGGGTTGTAACTTTTTTTTCCTAGTGGAGGAATATGTAATTATGCTCAGCTGATATTGGCTTTCCGAATATTTAAGTTGTTGAGCGTGTCAGTCCTGTGTTGAGGATGCCATAAAAAAATTCACCTTCAAATTCAATTGATAGGTTGTGAAGTATTAACTCCTGACTTGAATGCATGTTCCTTTTTCAAAGATTAGCACCTAGGAATAAATATCATATTTGCACTCTATGTCTGTGTAAACTTTTCTGAACTGACATATAAGGTGAACACTGATTAGACAAGCAGTTATGGTCTCATTCAAACATTTTACATGTATTTAACTCTCACATGGCACTAAATGGGAGCAGATGATATCAGCGCTGTTTTCTTTGTATTTTTGAACTGAGATGTATGCTAAATATATTCTGCCACTTAGATTCATAATAAGTAACTAGTGTTACGCATTTGTGCAATTTACGATTAGATAAAAAACCTTGTGTAACTATTGTTTCATGATGCCATGAGGTGTCTGGTTGTTACTAAAACACAGACACATTGGTTTCCACGTCTGTTACAAGACTGTCTTCTCAGCTCCAGTAGGACAATAATTAGCAAAAACTATGGAATATTGGGAATAACGGAAGTTCAATTTTTAGCATTATGACACACGATAAAATGGTTGGTGCACAAAGCACCTACTGAGTTACTTGCTTCTCAAAAAAAAAAACAGTTTTGAATCCTCCATTTTTAAATTTTTGGGGTACTAATGCTAGAGCCAATTGGACTGTACTGACTGATCAGATACACACATTGACAATCTTCTTATAAATATTTAAGAAATTTTAATGCTATTGGTACTTTACAACACAAAGAATGAAAGGGAAAAAGTCACCACTAGTGAGTCAAGATTTGGAATACTTGTGTTCAAGAAATTATTTTTAAAAATATTACATTTTACACTGCAGCATTTCAGCTTGTTGGTTAGAGCATTTGTGCACCACGTTGCTTGTATCAGAGTATATAAAATCAGAACTTCCCTGTAACCTTGATATGGTTTAAAATTTGGGGCATGCATACACACATTTTACAGTAGCTTCAGATTGATGTATGCTTTCATCAACTCA